GTATGACTCTCTCTTTATCTTTACTAGCTGCAGCTGTATTTTGTATTTGTGTGCGTTGCGTGTAGCTACAAGATGTTTGTTTGCCCTGCCTATGAATAATTTGCATTGGACGTTTGTCAACGGCAACACAACACGGAGAAGCTGAGCTGCCGACTTAAAAGCTAAAACTGAGGCCCATTTTCCCATTTTAAAGCTCGATACCCATCAAAACTTGGCTGCTAAATGGTCATCCCGGCGACAAATTAAGAAAAATGTTGGCTTAACTTGCTGAATCTATTAACATTTTGGGATTTATTCTTTGTCTAGGCGCGACCGAAGGTGTTGCTTAGGTTTGGCTTAAGGCTTGGCTCTTGCTAAAAAATAAATAGGAATTCTGTGTTGCATCTGGTTTGCATAATTGCTGCAAAGGCGGGGGAAGACGTCCATAACTTCGATGTCTTTTAGCTATATACATGTGTGTAGGGTGTAGGGTATCCACAAGTCGATTGCTTTCGCTTGGAGCCGTCTAACGTGTTCCATTTGCCATTCTCTTAGGTAGCTCCTCGGGCGTTTGGCTTCAATTTTATTCAGCTGCGGCTGCGTTCTGCGGCTAAGAATTTTGCCTGCCTTTTTGCAGCCGCCGTTAATGGTGTTGTTGTTGTTGGATATGGGATTTTGGTTTTGATAAATCGCTTTGAAATTTATTTTCGCCCCCTCATCAGCCAGCTGAGTGACCGAGCAGAAACTGGACTGTGCAAGTGTCGGGCTGGCCATTTGTCTAGCTAACAGTTTAACGCCTGCCACGCCCACAGCCGGACAAATGTTGCGATGTCAACCGGTTCAGAATCAGGTTGAATAAGTGGCCAAAGCCAACCAACCCTCCCCGGCCACAGTCTGAATAGCCCACGCTGTCAGCGTTAGCCAGAACTCTGGTCAGCTTTTCAATTGCCAAGCCTGTTTACTGTTGTTTGTATCTGCAACTCCTGATAAGGGCAGCTGCTTTTGTTTATAATTGTGTAATTGGAGGCAAAGGGGCGGCATCAATTGAACAGCTCGTAAATAAGGCGTTTTGTCCAAAACTCGTCTTCAATAACAGTTACATCATGATTTAAAAGGCAGCCCTAGCAGCTGCCCCTAGCCTAACCCTAACCTTCCATTGGCATATCAACTAAATCGCCTACGCATGCTGCATGACAACAGTAGATACAATATCTCAAAGATATTTTGCTTAGCGCCCATGGCAAATAAGAAATAAGTATCCACGGCACAAAGGCACAACAACAAGGACAAATATCTGCTGGGCTGAAGAACGCAAAATACTCTATCAAATGTCAAGCAAACATAATGATTCTAGGACAAGGCACATTTCGATAGGGAAGCTTGACTTTGGAAGCTTCGCCAAGTGTTTAATGAACTCGAAATGGCCCGTTGGTAGTGTATAGGCAAGGAAATGCGAACAACGGCAAAAGGTTCAAGACAATTTATAACAATTCGTTTTCATTTACATGAGCATGGACATGGACGTGGACAACGACATGGACGACGACGCCCTCAAAAAATTTGCACTATTGAATACTTTGTAAGCGATTTTGGCAATAACAAATGCTCCGTCGGTCACTAGGGCCAATAGCAAATTGGTTAGCTACTTATGTATTACACATATATTACACATATTATTACTATTATTATTTTTATTATTATGGAAAATGTAAATGAATAATACTTGAAAATCGAACGAAGCATCCGTCTCCATGGCAGCCCGAGGCCAGCTATTGCCCATTGTGTGACCCTCATTCGGTCTCCGATGAACCAAAAAAATAATAAATATATATATATAAATATATGTTTGTGTACATATACATATGTATGTGTATAAAAAAGGACTGCGACTCAGCAGTCAAGAAGATAAACAGCTTTTGATTGCGTTTCGCTCTTGTTTCGGTTCTCCCCTCTTTCTCAGATTTTTGCTCTTTGTGCGTCGGGTTTTTTTCAATTCTGGGCCGCATCCCTCTCGTTGTCGTTCAGGGACCCCGACGGGATCGCCCCTTGTCAATGTAATTGCATAAGTGTAAAACGGTAAACATAACTTTATATATGGCATTCAGCGCCTGTGGTGGCAACGGGCCTATATATGGGGTATTCCCATTTCCTATTTTATTTATTTTTTCCCTTTTTTTGGGCTAGATAATAATTGGCTTGTAATTGCGTGTAGCAATTAGTGATAAGGTCCGCTCAGTTCCTGTCGGGGTTTCTGATAAGCCAACAATAAAACATTTACTGCTTCTTACCTCGCCCTCTCCCTTTCTCTCTCTCCTACGGAATCGACTACAATTGAAGGCGATTTGGAAATGACTTGGGTTATTGATCTAATCAAGAAACGTTTAGATATTTATAGATCTTGTATAGCAACAGATTAGTATACATGTGTTAGCTCAGACTGTTGTTTCTGTTTCACTTTCCCTCTCTCGCTCTCTCACCTCGCCTACCTCTCGCAGGTAAACAAAGCTTGATATTCATACTCAAATCTCTCACAGTTCATCAGTTTTATATGTGGATTTATATTATCGCCTATCTCTTACTACATCGATTCGTGTTGTGAATGAAATTTTTCAATATTTATTTACTAAACTGCCCTAAAAGCTTAGCAAAGTGAAATGAACAGACTTCACACTCACGCATCGACTGCGCTTAATGCGCACTTCCGTTCTCTCTCACTCTCGCTCGCTGCTAATCAAGCGATTACAAACTGTATTATTGTACGTGTGTGTGCCTGTGTGTGTGCGTGACACATAAATTGTTTATATGTTATCGCTTATCGCCTGTCACTTATCGGTTATCGCTCTGCTTCCTCAACCGCTCTCGCGCTGTTGCCCAATTCAATGAATATCATGACGAAAAATGAAAGTGGCATTAATTTATACTTATATACATATATACGTATACGTATACATATATAAATGTTATTTATTAAACCTATTATTTGGTTGTTATTAGTTGCTCTCATTGTTGTTGCTTTTTTGCTTTTAGCGGCTTGCATTTTAAATGCCGTTAATAGTTGTTATTGCTTTTTGCCAGTTGGCTGCTGAAAGCGCTCACCAAATGCCGCCTAATCAATTTATAGCATCCCCATTGCCCCATCCTCCAACCCCAACCGCTACCCGCCTGCCGTTCACGCCTCAATCTCCACGCGATGCGCAGTGGATTGCATTTGAACGCTTTGCCCCAGCAGTTGCCCCCTGCAGCCAGCTGCAGTTTTAATTAAGTGTTTAATTAATGATGATGATGATGAAGATGATGATGATGCTGTTGCTGCTGCTTCTGCTGATGCTGATGTTGATGCTGATGATAATGATGACGATGGGCATCGATGGCTGTGTCGTTTGACCACGTGATGTGGGCACCCTGGACAGCCGACAAATGCCAATGAGTTTTGCATATGTGAGTGCAATGGGATTAACAGATGAGATCAGGATGACCGCAGCTGCAAGCTGTATGTGTGTGTGTGTGTGTGTGAGTGAGTTGATTAACTCACTTTAGAAAACATCAACTGAAACAGTCTTTAAATTTAAATTACAAATTGTGTTTAGATTGCGAAGCCATGAAACAAATTGTCGTGGATTTGAATCAATTCTTTGGTTTTTTATATATTATATTGTGATTAGATTGCGGATATATATAGACTTATATAAATTCGATTGATATTCGAGCTCGAAATTTCAATTGTAATGCAAATTTTCTTTCTTGTTTTGGCACTCTCGTTAGCTTTTCCCTTGGCCTAGTGGGAATTCAGTTTCTTTTTTATTTCTCTCTGTTTTTTTTTTTTGGCTGATTAGCGAACCTTTTCAGCTCATTTCTCTGTCCCCTTTCACCTCATCGGCGCTTTCTGCCAGTCAACCTTGCCACACATTTTCGTCTTAATTTTCAGCTGCATTAAAAGCAAATGCAATTTTCACTTTTCAGACAACTTACAAACGCCCATGGCTCAGTGGATGCCAGACTGACTGACTGACTGACTTGTAGTCAGATTTGTGTGCGCGCGTGTGTGTGTGTGTGTGTGCGTTGTTTGCTTGCTTGTTTGTTTGTCTGTTTGCCTGTTTGTCTGTTTTTCGGCGCTGTTTGCTTTCTGTGCGCACGCTCCGCTTGCAAACATTGCGCATACGCCGCGTTGGCAAAAGTAAAATCAAAAGTCGGCATCTGCTGCGTGTGTGTAAAAATTGTGAAAAGCGTATCTGGAGCAGAAAATGTAATGTGTCTGCGGCCCGCCGGCAAGCCAACTGTACTTCTTATCCACTGCCGCTGCCGCAGCCTCTGCTTTTCTTATTTATGTGCATAAACCTCCATTTAAATTATATTTCTCCCTTTTTTTGCTTACATTTTCATTGCAATTAATTAAGCTGCGCACTCCGCTCACGTGATAGCCACACAGAGTACATCAAAAGATATTGAAAGACGGGGAGTGGGAAAGGGAGAGATCAAGAGAGCGGGAGAGCTGTCCCAATCCGATCCCGGCCTATAGCTAAAACTGATAAGACCCAAGGCAGCGATACTCAAGTAGCTGCTCTGCCTTACGCCACGCAAATAGATAAGATTTCTTATTTTTTTTACCAAGGTCAAGCAGAGAATTGACGCACCTGCTGGTCCATAAAAACAATTAGTCAAAGCTGTTTTGAAATATTTAACATATTTTTCCATAATTTGTTGTTCGCTTAGCTTTTATAGACTATCAAATGTCGCGTTGTGCGATAAGATCCCGATAAATTGGGGCATATAAAAAATGTCCTCACGGAAAATAATAGAAAAGATAAGCGAGAAATTTGTAAGCAATTGATTAAATGTTATACAGAAATCATTGGGTTAGGCGCGCACTTATCATGAAATATGTCGACGAGTGGCCGAGCCAAATTCCTATTCATTCAAGAAAGCTGCCTTAAGTCTGGTTGATGCGTATCTTATCTTGTGATATTTCAACTATGATTTAACTATTCACATGTGGCTAATATCATTTGCCTTTTGTTTTACAGATCGACAACAGCAACAACAATAACAAGCTAGAGCAAAGCAGTTGTGGGACGTGGCTAATTGCAAGTAAGTCGTCAAATGTAATTTCTTTATAAAAGTAGATTATAAATACATACATATAGATATATATATATATATATATATATATATAAATATGTATAGTATATTTAAAGATAGACATCAGCAGTGGGGTCTCTGAGTAAAATGGGCAAGGCCGGTTGGCGCGCCAGCTAGTGCTACAGGAGGGGGCCAGCAGGCGTCGTGAAAATTTTGCCTTCGCCAACACTTCATGTAAATCGCATAACACGACAGCCAAGGCGATGGCGATGGCGACAGCTTGCTTGACTAGCTCAAAGTCCAACAGCACAGCAGCTACAACGTCTAGAAATGAACAGCAATAACAACTGCAACGACAACAACGAGTCGTCTGACTTGTCAGATCGCGTGCCAAGAAATAATAATGAAGAAAAATCGTGTTACTTAGGCCTGGGCCGAGGCAGCAGCAGCAGCTTCAGCACTTTATGCCTAATAATCATGCCAACAACAACAACAGTAACAATGAACAACAATTGCAGCGACAGCAACAGCTACAACAGCAATCTCCTTTAACTTCTATTCAGCCCCCTATGGCCCTGCGGTTTGGTTTGCTTTGTTTGTGTTTTTTGTGTCATGCGCCTGCGTGCCGTCTGATTAGCGTGCATCGAGATATGCCCCTCATGCCACAGCCCCTGTTTGCATTTACTTCAAATTACAGCGCTTGACAATGCCCGATTTGCAGCGCATCCGTTCGTCATGCCAATGAAGCGCCTAATGCAAATTAATCCACAGCTCGAAACATTGACGGGACCTAAGCCAAGAAGTTGCCAATGAAAAGAGTTGCGCTCGAGTCTATTGTTAACTGCTTTGCCCAGCAGTTTATAGATTAATTTTATCGAAAATATTCCATTAGCAGTTGTATGGCTGACACTGACTGCTCTTCCCTAATATAATTCGATATTATTGTTTTAGCTAAAGGCAGAAAATTGCATATTTGCAAATATTTAAACATTCAAAGCTGGCATCAATAAAAGTAGAGAAAAATAACTAAATCGCAGCCTGCGGCAAAATGTCGGTCTTCAGGGTCTACAGTTCGAATGTGCGTGACTGCCGTTAGGCGGATGACGAGAGGCATGCAGCCCCCACTAATGGGCTATTAAGCGTTTACGGGTAATTGAGATGTGTGTACGTCCACAAAGAATCGAGCGCATAGAGGTGGATGTGTTTAATGCAAATATTAATCAATATTTATGCATGATTGGGCATCGGCTACATCCGTATATGGATGTTATTTTCAGGTAATTGAAATGCATACTTATGCTATTAGCTAAATTAATTAGTGACCGAAAACAAGGCTGTAAAACAAATACTTTCATGATGCCAAATAGCTGCGTCTTGCCACTGTATCATGTCTTAGGCAACCCCAGGCAGAAAGTATGTTTTAAGGTAATTTCTGTTCTTTTCTGCATTACTAATTAGCTTTTCACGGCAAATTTATTGTTCAAAGTTTCCGTGGCTTAGCTTAGGCAAATGCCAACAGCCCGCAACACTACGGATAACTTATTGGACTCACGTGTCTAGATAGTTATCTATTCGCTACCCAAACACCTAATCTCTTTCTCTTTGCCTCCACTCTCTCTGTCTCTTTCTTCCGCTGCCTCTCTCATTTCGCGCTAAATCACAAACGCAAAAACCACATGCGACACTAAGCCTAAGTCGCATTTAAGTCCTTGGCGCCCATCAGCAGTGGCAGCTTCTCCGACCCGCCACAAAAACTATTGCCTGGCTCATGCGTCTCATACTCTGGCTGGGCTAGGCAAACATCGCTGCTGATTCTCTCCACAGTTTTAGCAATGGCATCGAGCACCTGCGTCTAGGTTGTTGCCAGTCAACCAAAAAGCCATTCAAAAATCCCCAAAACAACTTGCAACAAACGAGCTGCGTTGCGGCCCACAGACAACATGCTAATTAAAAGCTACTTTTGCCAGCCGCATTAATATACACACAATACACACACACACACAGGCACAGACATGGTGTTGTTGTTGTTGTACTGTCTGCAATGCCAGCGGATTAATGAACATTTACGAGGCGGGCCGCAACACGGGAACAGGACGCCAAGTGCCGGCTCCAGGCTTCAAACCAATCGACTGTTGTTGTCCTCGTTGATGTCGTTGAATGACAACAATTTGCATTTGTTTCATTTGAAATGTGTATATAGACATAGCATATATCAGACAGGTTGGCGGTGGCACGTGCAGCACAGGAGCTCGGCAGCGGCGCTCGGGAATGGCGGAGCGGTCTGAGCTGAATGTCGGTCTGTCTGTCTGGCTGTCTCTTTGTCTGTCCGTCTGGCTGGCTGTCTGGAAACCCTTAACCGCACTGGCAAGACACAGCAGGCGAGCTGCGGCTGCTAACAGCTCGAATGTTGGGGATGGGTCGCAGCCTTGGGGCGTCATTAAAAATGTCTTGATAGGTTTGCGGCTTTGATTAAAATGCGTTGTCGTTGCTGCTGCTGTTGTTGTTGTTGCTGCTGCAACTGATGGACAGACTTGACAGGACATTTGCTTAAAGACTCTTGGATATCGCTTGAACTTAAATAACAATTGACTTGAATCACAATTGATTTGCAATTCAGGCTAACAGACAGACTAGCTGATGGAGTACATACATATATATCTTGTCTCGATCATGACAATGGGCTGAGGCAATACAGTCGTCTGTCTGTTTCAGCTGAAGGCTTGATATTTGAATTATATGTTTCTGTATAACGTTTGGAATTAAAGTGTATCATTTCTTAATCGATATCTCAACTCGCTTTCCATTTATCGATATATATCGAACTTGCTTCTGAGGCATAGCTTGAATAGTATACCAGCTATGGACACCAGGAAGGAACTTACACTTATTCTATTATGTCTTATCTTAGTTACTTTAACGAACTCCATTTAAACTTAAAGAAAATAAACGTAGCATGTTTGAAAGAGAAGTTTATCGCAAGTTTCAGGGTGTCTTTTGGTCGTGTACTCCCTATTAGAGCGCACTTACTTGTCTAAGAGCATTCTAGCTTGCTCTTAATGAGGGGTTCGGTGCAGCCTCGAGCTCATCCGGTTCATAATAAGCTTAAAACGGATTCAACTCAGACTTGTGTTTCACTATTCCATCTACAGCTGTTGAATCCACGGAAACTTGTGAAACTTTTGCTTACCTGCCAATGGTTGTTAATTTAAATTTGGCTTTCAGTGCAGCAGGAACGACATTTATTGTCCTTATGCACATACATATACATGGGTCCATTGTCACCAGGCGTTTGCTGCAAGCTCTTGCGGAGCCATAAATTCACAAGTTAAGAAATAATATTATTTCTTTTATATCCACAGTTTTTTCTTTGCTCGCCTAGCCCAGCCTCGCCTCGGCTCGCCTCGCCCTGGCAGCCGGCGCGACGGCCTCGGCGCATTCGTCTCTGTCTTAACATTTTGCAGTTGAACTTTTTGACAGTCATAAATTTGCGTCTAACATGAATTCGACAGCAAACTTAGAAGCCAAAGTCAGCTTAGATATAGTTGTTTTCCCTCGTTCTTTGCACATTTTCATTTTACTTTATTTTATTCTATTTTCCTTTCATTTTTTGTCTGTTTGCTTCGCGCATGACTTTTTGCGATGTGCGCCGTAGAATAAGTCAACTTAAAGCTAACAATTTTCCAAAAAAATAATGAGAGCTCGGAACCTTTTTTGTTAAATCTTGTCTAAAAGAAAATCGAAAGTTTTCGCCAACTAATTTGAACAGCTTTTTGTTACAGTAACTTATGCAGCTGTTAAGGTACATGTTAAGTTAACATGCAGTGCTTGCTGCTTAAAGAATTGCCAGCAATTTGTGTAAATGTTATTAGCTAATGACAGACCAGCAATATTTCTAAGAGTTTATATAAATATCTTTTTGTGGGATTTCCATTTTCAGCTTTGTATTGTATTTTGACAGTTGCGAAATGCAGGCAGTCAAGGACTTCTAGTCTAGCGTTTGAATTGAAAGTCAATTCAATGGAAACTGGTTGGTTACCTTTCTTTGCTACCTGACGGCTGGCACAGTGGTGGCGCCACATTCAGCTGTCCCTTTGTGCCACATGGTACATATCATTTATTTAGTCGTTGCTGCTACCTCTGTTTAAGTTGACTCAAGTCGTCTCGAGTCGACTTCATTCCTTCCATCCTTCCATTTCTTACTGCTGCTGCTGCTGCTTCCTTAATACGTTTAAAAATAAGCATACAAGGAGGCTTGCCCTGGGAAGAGGACGCGACTGCAACGCGGCGCGTCGCTACTTGAGCGTACAATGTGCCTTGCCAAGTACTATATCTTTGACTGCATTATTGTTGTAGTGGAAGTTGCTGTTGCTGTTGCTGTTGTTGCTACTGCTATTGCAATGGCATTGACTGCTTGAGTAATTGGAACGCATCAGGATTGAGTAAGCGACAGAAAAGCAGAAACAGAGAGAAAGCTGCTTAAGAGGGACAAGTGAAATATGTTGAATCAACTAGTGTTCTATTCAGTAAGACTTTCCATTGAGCATTTAGATTATAGAGCAGCAGAAAATAAAATACATTGAGTTGATTACATTCAAAGAGCTTGTTAAAGTACCCCACAAAGTCAAGAGATGGATTTCGCCATAGCTTTAAAACCTGAAGAAGCTCAAAGATATAGATTGAAAATAATAAATTTATGAAAGCAAATTAAAGTTGTTCACTTATGGAGAAAACTACTTAAACTTAAACTAAATCAAAAATCATTTTCATTAATTTAAACAAATACTTTGCATTAGCATTTAGCCTTTTTCCAGCAAGCTGCAACTTTAGTTATACTTTTTGAGTGATTGAGATTAGTTGCAATTTCTGTGTTAAGCTTTCCTTTAACGGATTAGTTAAGCGCTCAAGCAGATTTTCTCCTCTGCAAGTTTTCCACATTTTGTACACTTAAAAACTGCATTTAACGAGATTCGCAGATAGTAGTCGTATTGCCAGCCGAATTGAAGCTAAAC